ACACTCTCAAACAAGCACACAGACACACTAACATATGCTTACACGGACATGCTCACACACGCAGACATGCACACACACACCGATGCACTACCACTCACCCGGGGTGCTCAGATATCACCAAGGGCAATGGCTCTGGTAGCTCACCCACCCCAGGGGTGTGCAAGGCCCCCCCGCCTCCCCCGCCCTGGGAAGGTGTCAGCAAATGGCTTTGCTCCCTGCAGCATCAAGAATCACGGGATCCCCCCAGATCTCCCAGTACCGCAGGGGGCAAGATCAGCATCAGGGGGGACGTGGTAATGGTGGGGGCGCAGGGAGCTGCTTGCTGCCCAAGGAGACTAGGGGAAGTGCCTGAGGACAAAGGTGCCATCAGTGGCAGAGCCAGGCTCTGTGGTTGGGTCTCTGCAGTGCTGGCCAGTGCTCTGACCCCTCCACCACGCGCCTCACCCCTGCCCCACGTGGAGTCACAAGGGCACGGGGGCTTCTGGCACCCGCGGGGGCGCAGGCCTGTCAGCCTACCTGGGTGTGCACATTTTGCCCAGGTAAGTTGTGCCCAGTGAGAGCACAGCGTGTCCGGGTGAGTCGGGCCCCTCCCAGCTGGCTTCACCCTGCTCCTTCCTGCCGCTGCAGCAACACGGAAGCTGCCCCCTGTCCCGTGTCCTCAGGGGACCTGGCGCTGGAGACGCACGGGACAAACTCCGAGCAGGGTGCAGCCGGTGGGCTGGCACCACCCCTGCAGACCGGCCCTGCTCAGGCACACAGCCCCCACCTCCGTGCCCCCGCCCATGAACGACCCGAGACCTCGTCCTTTCATCAGTCGCTTTATAGCAGCCAAACAGCGCCGACGTCAGGCAACCCCAAAGCCTCGAATGCACCCGCTACGCTCAGCCCTGTCCAATGTCCCCCGGCTGGCCTCGGGGCTGCGTCACGGCCTGGCACACTCGGGCTCCCGCAGCACGGCCTTGACCTCGAAGCCCGTGGCCTGCAGCACGATGCCGAACTTGCCCGCCAGCGAGGGCAGCGGGTGGTGCGCGGGGAGCTCCAGCGTGAAGCGCTGCAGGATCCAGGACAGCAGCAGGAAGAGCTCCATCTTGGCCAGCACCTCGCCCAGGCAGGCGCGGACGCCAGAGCCGAAGGGCATGTAGCTGGGCGTGGGTGAGTAAATGCGCTGGCCTTTCTCATCCAGGAAGCGTCCTGAGGGTGGAGGGGATGGCGCCGTCAGGCCCAGGAGCCCTGCCGGGACCCCTCCACCCAGCAGGCACCTGCGATGGGGCCCATCCAGCCCTTCCCAGCGCCAAACACCGCCGAGACCGGCCTGACTCATCGCCGCCGGGAGCTGCCCTGCTCCCCGCGTGTCTGCGAGACTCACCTGGGTTGAACTCCTCGGGCTTGTCCCACTCGTCCTGGTCGTGGTGGATGGCCCAGATGTTGACGATGACGTGGGCGCCCTTGGGGATGACGTAGTCCCCGATGCTGCGGTGCAGAAGCAGAGGTGAGTGCCCCCCTCTGCCGTCTCCACCCCACCCCACCCAGGGCCACCGCTCACCTGGAGTCCACCAGGGCCACGTGGGGGATGAGCAGCGGGGCCACGGGCCGGATGCGCAGGACCTCGCTGATGGTGGCCTCCAGGTAGGGCAAGCGCTGTCTGTCGCTGAGCTGGGGCCGTCTCTCCAGCCCGAGCTGCTGGTCCAGCTCCTCCTGGATCTTCCGCTGCACCTGCGCAGCAAGGACGGGGTTAAACGGGGGTGTTGCGTGTCAGAGGCCCAACACTGCTCAGGAGAGTCTCCTCCAGTGGAACAAAGCGAGTCCACGGGCCAGGAGGGCAGCACAGCCGGGCGCTGGGGACCCTCCCACTATGAACCCACCCGGCCACCTCTGAGCACAGCAGGACCCGGCTCTGGGCCTGAGGGGTCCAGCAGCATTGCAAGGTAGGGAGGCAATGGCTGGGGCTGGGGGGCACAGGGCCCAGGTAGGACGGGGCGAGGCCTGGGGGGCCGGGCGGTCGCACCTCGGGGTAGTGCAGCATGTAGATGATGGCCCACTTGAGCACGGTGGGGGTGGTCTCCACGCCGGCCCCGAAGATGTCGCGCTGGGGCTGGGGGGGACAGGGCCCAGGTAGGACGGGGCGAGGCCTGGGGTGCTGGGCGGTCGCACCTCGGGGTAGTGCAGCATGTAGATGATGGCCCACTTGAGCACGGTGGTGGTGGTCTCCACGCCGGCCCCGAAGATGTCGCCCACGGTCATGAGCAGGTGGTCGTCGGTCAGCTCCAGCCCCGGCTCCAGGCGGCTGTTGTTGTTCTCCATGTTGAGCTTGGCGCGCAGCAGCGCGTCCATCAGGTCGCTCACCGAGTCGCTGCAGAAGGCTTCCTGGGGGCGGCGGGGGCGTGAGGGGAGCCGCAGCAGCCCCCCTGGGTGATTCGGAAACCGGGGGCAGGGACCTGCCGGTTCAGTGCCCCGTGCCTCGGTTTCCCCAGCTCTGAGAGCCCACCCCGGCTCAAATGCCTTTCCCTGCTCTGTGCCTCAGGTTCCCCAGCTCCTGCCAGGGCTTTGCTGCCTTTGCAGCGGTCTCTGCCCAGAGCCCCTACCTTGTGCTCGGTGAACTTTTTCTGGAGCAGCTCGTCCCGGGCCTTGATGCACTGTCGCAGCCACGCCAGGTCCTTGTTGGGGAAGTACTGCGGGGGGAGGAGAAAGGCAGTGCCAGTCGCACCCCTGCCAGCGCTCCTCCCGGGATGCCCCCTGCCCCAGAGACCCTGGCCCCTCTCACCTGCAGCCAGGGGAAGATGTCCACCAGGCTCTCCTTGCCCACGGTCTCCACGATGCCCTGGCTGTACTCCAGCATGGCTTCGAACTCGGGGTCACCACGGCGGTAGGAGGAGTTGAAGCACAACGAGCACACCACGTTGGTCACGGCGCGGGTCAGCTCGGGCGCCATGGCCAGCGGGGCCCCCTGCGTGGCCGCCAGCACCTCGCACAGCCCCTCGGCCTCCCGGCAGACTGGAGGAAGACATGAGGGGGAGGTTGGTGCCTCCCCTGCATGGGCCGAGCCCTCCGGTGCTGGGAGACGAGGGGGAATTGCTGGGGGGGGCAACCACACATGGATCGGGGTGTGAAGCGTGGCCGTGGCCTGCCCCAGAGTTGGGGACGGGGCTGAGCTGGGAGGAAGAAGGGGAGAGGCAGAGGGTCTCTACCCCCTAGCCCACGCTCCCCTCCAGAACCCAGGTGTCCAGGGCCTCGACGCGCCAGTGCTATGCTGTGACCCCCCCAGCATAATCCGGCACTAGGTAAAAACAGTGCGAGCTAGGGGGAGAAGCTGGGCACCGCCCTCCTGGATGAGCCTGCTCCATGCCTCGGTTTCCCCACCTTGCCCCCAATGGGGAGGTGGCACGGATGCTGGCCGAGCCCATGGGGAGGGGAGCTGTATCTGTGTGCCCCTTCCCAATACTCAGAGGACCATCAGCAGCTGAGAGAAGGCAGGGAGCAGACGGGGAAACTGAGGCAGGCTCTGCCCCTGGGTAACACTCACCGATCTTCTGCAGGGCGACGGACCCCTCCCCGAACATGGAGAGCGCCGCGTGCACCAGCTTGCGCTGGAGCCGCCAGAGCGGGCTGTAGCTGGCAAAGGCGATGTCCTTGCCCCCCCGGGACATCAGGTCCGAGGTCACCTGTGGGGCGAGGAGCGGGATGCCGTGGTCAGGGGGAGAGGACCCGGGGCCCAGCGCCTGGCAAGGCACCTGGGGGTGCTCCACAACCACCTGCCCCTTCCTTCCGGCTGTGCTGCCCTAGTGTTGAACAGGCACCCGCTACTCGCCAGGAGGGATTCCCCACCCCCCCCAGTCACCTCGGAGCTGGGGAAACCGAGGCACGGGCCAAGCTGCTCCTCTCTCCCCGCCCCCCGGGGCGAGGGGGACTCACGGAGTGGGGCCGGCCGGCGAACTCCTTCCCCTTCTTGAACAGCACCTCGCGGGCGTGCAGGTGGTTGTTGACCACCACCAGGTAGTCGGAGCCGAGGCGCAGGGCGTAGAGGCAGCCGTAGCGGGCCTGCAGGCCGGTGAAGCAGGTGTGCAGCTCGCTGTGCCCGGCCAGCTGCAGCAGGCTGCCCAGCACGGGCAGCGAGGGCAGGCACGGCGGGGCCCGGCGCCCCGGATCCGCCTTGTCCCGGGACAGGTGCCGCAGGGCCAGCAGGGCCAGGGCCAGCAGCAGGGCGCCCAGCGGCCGGCCGCGGGGCCTGGAGCTGGGCCAGCCCCGTCCCTCGCTGCCAGGATGCAGGGCTGAGATGGGAGCGGGGGGAGCTGCGCCTCCCATGAGACAGGAGAGGCTTCCCTTATACTGCACGGCCCCGGCCCCCCTCTGCAGAGCCGAGCGCCTGGCCCCGCCGCGCTCGGCGCTGTACACGGAGGCAGCTAGACAGTCTGCGGGAGCCCTGCCTTTTGCTGCACGCTGGGGGTCGAACCCGTTGTAGGAACCGGGAGACCGGAGCCCCCGTCCCACAGCCCCAGGGCGGGGCTGAGAGGCTGCGGGAGTCCGGCGGGGGTCCCCGAAACCCAGGGCCAAGCACAGGCGGGGGCGAGGTCCCGGAGGCGGGCTGCAGGGGTGTGACGGGGGCACGCGCTTCCCGCAAAGCCGCCGGCCCCCGGACGGCCCGCCCCCCCCGGGCCG